GGCGGGGGCAGGGAGGCAGCCCGGCCCTCCACAGCCCGGGGGCGGAAGCCTCGGCGGAGTCTGGGCATCTGTTTTTCTGCACCCTCATCCGTCCCTGCCGATGGTGCCAGGAGGGCCTTGCCCAGGCACAGTGCTGACGTGGGAGGGGGTCGAAAGCAAAAGCAGGTGCGGTTGTGTGGAAATGCGAGGCTTGTATTTACCCTCCTCTCCTTCTCCCCCGCCCCAGTGGAAAACAACTCCCCGTGCCCTGCGGAGCGTAGGATAGGGGAAGCGCTGTGGGCCTGGGAAAGTACTGGCCGGTAGTTGCCCTCTCCAGGTTGCAAGTCAGCTGCCTGTTGCCATGGTGCCTGTCTGCTTCCACTTCCTGCAGGCCCGGCCGCAGAGGAAGGCACCGGCGCGGACGCACTTTGTTTTCCCAGCACGGGAGCCCGGCCCAGGGCTCACCTGCCAGAGCGAGCCCGGAGCGCGCCCGGAATGAGCCCGGAGCGCGCCCGGCGCGTGCCCGGCACCCTCAGCGGAGCTGCGCGCCGCCCAGGGCCCGCTGTCCTGCGGGGACGCTCCATGCTGCTCCCGCTGTGGCCCCGTGGGAGTGTTTCTTTCTCCATCTGGGGCCACCCTGTGTGACCTCGGGTGCCCTGGGGGCTGTGGCTTCTGCCAGCCCTTCGAGAGTGTGTTTCATGGTCGCACAATGTGCCTGCAGGCACCTGGCACCCAAAATGGCTTTCGACAGTGAGTCAGCAACTGCTCCCAGTCTGCAAGTGTTTTTGCTTGCAGTAAATAAGTAAGATCCCAACAACCTATTGCTAATGCTTATATTGGTCGTTAAAGGAGGAATTGCCATTTATGTGCACATGTGCCAGTGTTGTTCTTTTGCTACAGTATTGCCATTTACAGACATATTTTGATCATTTAAGATGTGATAGGATAAGGACGCTTAACGTGTGGATACCACGAAGCAGGTCAGAAGTTGCCCATGAAATTAAGAGAGGTGACAGGTACAAGTTTCTGTGTTTGTGATAGGAATATATCTCATCCGCATACAGTAGGCCTGTATGATGAGCATGTTCTTTATTTTTTATTATTTGTAGCACTTCTGCCAGGTACAGAGTGAATTCTATTCATCTACTAATCGTTTATGCCCAAGTATTCAAGGAGCTGTGCCAAAGGGACAAACTTTTTCTCTAAGTGTGTATTGCCTTTGCTAATATCTCCTTGAAAATACCACATTCAGGAGCTTGCTAGGCGTTAAATATGCTTTTGACATTTGGAGTGCTCTGTGATCTGTGACAGATAGGTATCCTTACTTATGGTGTGAAACATTTAGAGGGAATATTAATTATTGAGAGGGAATAAAGTTCAGATCAGTTTTTTTCCTCCTCCATTTGCTTCCAGCAGGGTCATTGCTATTTCTTTATGCATTCATTTACCAGTATTTTGACTTTTATCAGCACAGTTAATGGAATAGGCTTTGTTAATGTACTGTTGTTTCATAGGACACTTTTCCTGTAAAACGGCCTTTCCAGTGACTCACTGAAGCATTCATCCTAGCATCTTGGACACAGAGTCTCTTAAGGATATCCCCTTTAAAAAGCAGCAGCTGCAATAGGAAATGGTTTTATGTGTTTCCAGCTTTGTGTTGACTTACTGTATTCACAGCTCCAGTCTGCTTTAGTCACACTTAGGGTAATGGGCCAAAGAGGCTTTTTTTCCTTCTTGGAAAGGAGGTTGAAAATATTCACTGTACTGCTATCTTAGGAAGATAGCAAAATGTTCACCTCTGACACTCAC